GCTACCCGGAAGACAGACCCATGTCATCTGGCTCGAAATCAAGAGGCACTTTCTACACCTCCATGCCGTAGGGAGCACGCTGGCCGGGAAGCCGCCCGCGCTCTCCGGCCAGTGCAAGCTGACGCTGGCCGACAGTCTGTGCTGGGGAATAATAGACCGCTCTATCTGGTGGGAAACTGGAAGACATGACCTATAAGGTCTTCTCCAATTCTGTTTCCAATTTTCCCACATCCCTGTGGGTTCTCAGGGGTCAAAAATATGCAATAAATGACAGCTGCTCTGTTCCTGGTCGGTGAGGCACCTGCCACAGAGACACACCAACAACAGGCCAGTCCCTCCTGGCCAGTATCTTTGCCCATCCTGCTGTGGCCTGAATTCATCCCAGGCAAGGGTCGAGAATATTGTCACAGAGGACAGAGGAGCAGGCAGGAAACCTTGGTGGCTTTGGTGGGGGAAACAAGATCTGTACACAATTGCTAGCTTCTCTGGCTAGCTAGTCTTCGATTTTGGCTCCCACCGCTAAAGGAAAGTACTTCTCTTCCAAAGCCCAGGTCTGCCAAGCCTTCCTCTGTGGAGCTACTCTGACAGTCATCCTGGCTAAGACTAGTGACGCTTCCTCAGAACAGCGTGGCAGGCTCCTCCTTTGTCGCATGCCTCCCAGGTGCTTTTTGTGCATAGTCTGTGTTGTCGTTGTTTGTGCGTGTTCTCTCCCTTACTAGGATGTAAGGTCCTATCAGCAGGGCCTGGGAGAGCCTTATCAAAGACGGGGGACAGGGGTGGAAATTGGCTCTTTCCCTCTGGGAGCCGACTATGACATGCTGAAGGCTCAGATGACTGCTAGCATTCTTTAGCAATAAAATATTTTTAATTAAGATATGTTCATTTTTAGATATGCTATTTTGCACTTAATAGACTACAGCATAGTATAAACATAACTTTTATGTGTGCTGGGAAACCAAAAGATGCATATGACTCACTTTATTGTGATATTTGCTCTATTGCAGTTGTCTGGAAATGAGCCCACAGTATGAGCCCTGAGGTGTGCCTGTATTCATCTAGCGTGGACAGGTGTCTGCTGTGTCTACCATGTGTTGGATATTGAATCGGATTCTTGGGGAGGAGTGAGATGATTAAGAGTTAGACAAAGTCTTTTCCTTCCAGAAACCACAATATAATAGTGGAAGCTGTCACCCCTTCTGACCCCAAACGTTAACTAAGAGCTGCAGCTTGGAGCTAGGACATGTCTGTTCACTAAAGAGAGATGCAATGCTGTGACTGGTCACCTGGAAAAAAGTGGCAAATTTCTATTTTATTCCACTTGACTTTGGAAGTTCAGATATTTACGAAGGTATGATGGCCTTATCTAAAATTCTCTAAAGATTGGTAGGAACACGCACCCAAGGAGTTCCTGTCCCTGCCCATGGAGTGACTGGGGAGAGAGAGCAGGACATTCAAAGTGTGAGGAAGAGAAAGTGGCATGTTACATGTTATAGTGGGTACAAACACAGAGCTCTGAGCCAGTCACCTAGGTCTGAATCTCAGCTTGGCCATTTACATGCTGTGTGACCTTAGATGGTTGTTTAACCTCTCTGAGTCTCAGTTTCATCATTTGTGAAATGGGAATATCAATACAGTTATGGTGAGTATTAAAAGAGTTAGTGTAGGTAAAGCACTCAGCACATGCCTGGCACATATCCAGTTCTCAGTGGCCTGACTTGTTGCCATTATTGTCATCATGCTGTCGTCTGGAATTAAAGTGGGTCAAGAATTGGGGCCAGACAGTTCCATCAGTACCAGTGAGTTCAGTCCCTTCACCAGAGAGACGCAAGCCAACCTCTCAGCCACTGTGACAACACTTCCTAGAGAACACTGATTATTAACCTGGGAATAAATAAATTTCCAGACTCCTTCGGTCCCAAGACAAACAGCCTCCCAGACACTTGCACGCTGTATTCACAACTGGACAGGGAGTGTGGGGACACTTGTCCTCGATGCTCTCTCTTGATTCAGAGCATCACCAGACACCCACTTACCCCAAGGAGACTTCCACACTGATACTCTTCCTTTTCCATATCCAGATATCACCAGCGTAGGACTAGTCTTCTTCTGCTTTGGCGTTAGTTCTGACTGTCGTCTTTCCGTCTGATCCCCTGCATCAGCCTTCTGATGGCTTTTAGTCCCTGATCCACAAACCATTCCATGCTAATCCCCAAATCCCTATACAACCCAGAACTTATTATGTCATCTCTCTGCTTGCTGATGTCTGGTGAGGAAATATAGATGAAAACAAAAATGACACAGTGTTTCCCCACCACAGGATTATCATTAAAATTAAAGTCTGGCAATACCACATATTTTTCCAGCATCTGGAGAAGAAGATTTTCACTCACAGCTGGTGAGAGTGTCAATTGGTGTGAAGACCTCTAGGCAGTATGTACTGGAACTTAAATTGCACGTAACTTTTGACCCAGCAACTACAGGTTTCTGAGTCTACACAGAAGAACCTTCCTGGGAGAATGAAGTAGGCATACCAAGGACATTTATTGATCATTGTTTGAAATAGAGAAAAGACTCAAAAACCTAAATGCCCACCAATGTGGAGATGGCTAAACGGTCGTATATCCATGTTCTGAAATAGTATGCAGTATGAAAAGTATGAGGTATGAAGGATCTTTAAAAAGTTCATGGAAAATACATGTTATGAGAAAACTATGCATGGAATTCAAATTATTTTTGTGCCAAATAAACTAAAAAAAATTGTTATAATATGTCTGAGCAGGATCTAGTTTGAGACACTAAGAAGGAAGGATAAGACACCAGTTTCAAAAGAGCCCCTGTCAGAGCCACATTAATTCTGCTAAAGTCAAAGCAAGAATAAATATCAAATTTATGATAAAGGTTGGTTTCGTCAATGGTGAAATCATTGATGCTCTATGTAACATTTATGGGAACAATATCCCAAAGATATCAGCAGTTCATACCAATGAATAACTTGTTTTAATAAGGGATGAAACAATGTTGAAGATGAAGTCTACAGCAGGAGACCATCCACATCAATTTGTGAAGAAAAAACTAATCTTGTTCATTCCTTAATTGAAGACTGATGATTACTGGTACAAATAATAGCCAACACCATAGACATCTCAAGTGGTTTTGCTTGAACAAATTTGACTGAAAGATTAAAGTTGAGCAAACTTTTCACTCAATGGATACCAAAATCATCATGTCCAGATCAGCGGCAGACAAAAGCAGAGCTTTCGGTGGAAATTTTAAACAAGTGGGATCAAGATCCTGAAGCATTTCTTTAAGGAATTATAATAGGAGATGAAACAAGGCTTTACCAGTACAATCCTGAAGACAAAGCACAATCAAATCAGTGGCTACCAAAAGGTGGCAGTTGTTACAGTGGTCCAGTCAAAGCAAAACAAACCAGTCAAGAGTAAACAAAGGTCATGGAAATGGTTTTGGGGGGTACTCAAGGCATTTCCTTGTTGACTTTCTGGAAAGCCAAACAATGATAATATCTGCTTATTATGGGAGTGTTTTCAAAAAGTTAGCCAAAGTTTTAGCAGAAAAATTCCCAGGAGAGCATCCCTGAAAAGTCCTCCTTTACCATGACAATGCTCCTCTCATCAAACAAGAGCAATTTTGTGAGAGTTTCAATGGGAAATCATTAGGCAACCACCTTACACTCCTGATTTGGCTCCTTCTGACTTCTTTTTGTTTCCCAGTGTTAAATAATCTTTAAAGAGCACTCATTTTTCTTCAGCTAATAATCTTAAATTCTTCAGCTAATAATCTTAAAAAGACTGCATTGATATGGTTAAATTCCCAGGACCCTCAGTTCTCTAGGGATGGACTCAATTGCTTTTACAAAAGTATGTTGAACTTGATGGAGCTTATGTTGAGAAATAAAATTTATATTTTGTATTTTATGTTTTAATGACATGTTTCCACAAACTTTTTGACATCCCCTTATATGTCTAGGCATACTGACATGGAAAGATGTGACATATGATACATTGTGGGCTGAAGTTTTGCCCTCCCAATCCCCAAATTCATATGCTGGAGCCCTAACCCCCATACCTTAGAATGTGACCATATTTGTGACGAGGTCTTTAAAGAGGTAATTAAGGTAAAATGAGGGTCATGGTCCTATCAGTGGACCTTAATTCAATATGACTGGTGTCCTTATAAGAAGGGAAGATTAGGACACAGACAGACACACAGAGGGAAAACCCTGTGGGAACATGGAGAAGATGGACATCTGCAAGCCAAGGAGAAAGGCCTCAGGAGAAACCAAATATGCCCACTCCTTGGTCTTGGACTCCCAGCCTCCAGAACTGTGAGAAAATAAACTTTCTGTAGTTAAAGCCACCCAGTCTGTGGTACTTTATCACAGCAGCCCTGGCAAACTATCGCACAATATTAGATGTTTTATATGTAGGGAAAACAGAATGGAAGGTTCCACCCTGTCCTGATAAGAGTGATTACCACTGGAGAGGGACTGGGTTAGGGATGGTAACCATCTTTGATGGCAGTCAAAGAGGATTTTAGCCTTAAAAATAAGGTTTAGAAACCTTAAAATCTGTACCCCCATAATATGCCGAAAAAAAAAAAGAACCAGATTGCTCTGGTTCAGGTTATAACTTAAAAAAAAAAAAAAAGGTTTAATTTTTATAATGAGAAAATACTCATGTATTATTTGTACATCAATTTTTAAAAAACCAACCCATCTTCCATGGCATTCCACTGAATGCAATACCCAGTGGCCTTCAACACCTGGCTCAGCCTGTCTTTGGAGCTTTATTCGCTGCCGACTGCCACCCCCATGCCCCGGCCCACCTGCTTGCCACACCAGACCACCCCATCAGTCTAATGCACCCATGACTTGGTCTCTGGCCTCTGCTTGGAAAGCTGTTTCCCTTTCCTAAGTCTGGGCTGCTGATCTTTCTCCTTCAGAGCTCAGACCAAATGCCACCTGCTATTTTACAACCACATTGCCAACAGTCTCACTTGGAAGGTTTCCCGAGGCACATTTCTCTACTTTTTTGATGTCTGATTCATATTTGTGCCCTTGGTCCCTAATCGGTGCTGCAGGCTTGTAAATGCTCAATAAATGGTTCCAAAAGAATGAATGATAGGAACATTTTCTAGCAGGTTGCTTTTCCATCTAGTGTATCTCAAAGGTCCAACATTCTATTATGTATGTATTAACAAACTCCCTAGAGACCATGGCCATAATCACGACATGAGCTAGGGCTAACTGTCCCTTTAACACAATGGGGCAACTATATTTCTGGACCAGCCAAGCCCCATTTGCTTTCAATTCTAGTGAAATCAGCTGAGAATGGATTGTAATTTATTTTATTCAAGTTCTGTGCCCATAAATGTCTTCAAGTCCTTAACTCACAATAGGCCCAAATCAAAAATGGCATGGACCTCGGACTGGGAGGCTCTGATAACCCAGGCCTTACCTTTTCATCGGCTTGGGTGAGCATTCTCTCTCCAGATTGGAGGATGTATGTTTCACATGCATTGCATTATAGGAGGTGTGAGTATAGTCATTTTCATCACTGTAGTCAGGACCAAGTAACGTCCGGGCCCAAGTTCCCATGTCATAGGGAGGAAGGGTTCCTCCAAATTCAGAGGGCAAAAATTCAGGATGTATTAGCTGGTGAAGGCTGTTTAAATTGTTTCCATGCAGGAAAATCTGTAAAGAAAAAAATTATTAGCAATAAAAAAATCCAAAACATATGACCGAGTATTTACTCTAATACACAATTTAGCAATGACAAATTGGATGCACTGCTGGTGATCATGGTGTTTAAAGAGGCATGCATTTTGCGACTGTAGCTTAGCCTTCATAAAATATTAATTTATTGCTCAGAAAAGGGGCTAAGTTAATAGTCATGAAAAATGAAGTTTATGAACGGATTATTATTTGGCCATGGGCCAAATTTACACATGCAGTCATCTCCTAATTATCCCTGCTGATGAAAGGAGCGGTGACGCAGACCATCCGAAACCCGAGCCACGCCTGCATCCCAGACTGCTGCATTCCCCAACCTGTGTGCTCTGCCCCCGTTATCCCACCCTTCTCAGGCCTGGACCAAGTTGTGGCTTCTTCCCAAATCTGTCCTCGTGATACCTGCCCATTCTGGTTCTCCCCACCTGCCCTCCATTAACTCTTCAGTATCTGCTGATGCTTGAGTCTTGCTTCCCCATAGGGAGAGAATATCTAGGGAAAGGGATGGTGTCTTCTCACTTTTTAAAAACTCTCCTTAGCACCCCGGGGTGATGTGGTGCTTGGTAGAAGCTCAATCCATCCTTATTCAGTGCAGTTGGAAACCATGGCCTGAGAATGTATTGAGGGATATTTTTGCAGCAATTTTCCATTTCTTTGTCTTGACTGGGGACTAACGCCCAAACAAGTCTGCATCTTCTGAGCATATAATAAATATCGATGGAAACTGGTTAAATAGGGGAGAAACCTCTCCTCCCATTGAAGTTATTTTCAGACAAATCCACAAAGTGGATATGCCACAAGTAGATAATCAGCATTGACTGACTGCAATTTAGAAATTGGCTCTGAAAGGTGATTTAAAGTGCATTTGGGTAATGACATCAGTTCCCACACTTCTTTATGTTGCAGGCATGAAGTAATTATGTGTAACACATAAGCTGCACCCAAAGAGAGGACCATCAATTACACACACATGCATGCACACATGTGCACACACATACCACAGTCAAGCATGATGACATACAAATGTGATTTTAAAAATACTTAAATACAGGCCCTTATACTAAACACTTGCCACCTTGTTCTATTGTATTGATTTTAACTTATGATGTAATGACATCATTTAAAGATAAAGGGAACAAGAAGAGCTGATTCTTCAGAAGACTGCTGGAGTACTACAGAAAACAATATACATTTTCTGACATTAGAGTTGGGTATGACTGAATTTTAATAAGAATTATATCTTTTGAGGAAACTCACTTTTTCTAGCTTTTACAAAACTTCTCAGAGGGTGCTGTCATATTTGAACACGCTGGAGCTAAACACCAACCCTGGTGTTTATAGAAAACATTTGTACCCACCCAACCAACACATCTAGTTGTTGAAGGACAAAGAGTGCTGTTGAGGCTGGCACTCCCTTCAGGGAGGAAGTCTGGTGGGGGGGAGGAACACAGAAGCAGGAGGCTGGACCCTCCACCTGTCAGATTCTGTCCTGCACGCAGAGCTCCAGAAACCCCCTCCTATGGCAGCAAGTGTCCCTTGTGGGAGGAATTCCCCCTGGCTCTGTTCCGAGTAGAATAATAAGCCACTGGAAAGCCTGAAGCCATATTGAGAACAGTCTAGAACATTTCTGTCCTTAGCACTATCCTGAGCCCTAGATGAATTGCAAAATGTCCCAGAATGTCTCTCCCCTCTAACGCTGATGAGTTCTAATTCCTAGTTCCATATCTTACTGCAATGTTCCCTAGGACTGGAAGCACGTGAGGTCTAGGAGTTAGGAACCTTGCATGGCATGTGTGTGTAGGGGGGTCCCTGACATCATCAGTCCCTCCTGGATACTGGGAGCTCATCCCTAGTGTCAGATCCCCTGGGTGTCAGGGCATATGTAAGGTGCTGTAAGAATGACCCTGGCCATGAGGTAGTTGAAATCAGAAAGCCTAAAAGACAAGACTGGGGCATTATTCATGGTTGCCAAGATATGGATGCAACACAAGTGCCCAGCAACAGATGAATGGATAAAGAAAACGTGGGATATACACACAATGGAATACTATTCATCCTTAAAGAAAAATGAAATTCTATCATTTTTGACAACATGGATGAACCTGGAGAACATTGTGCTAAGCAAAATAAGCCAAATACAGAAAAACAAATAGTGTGTAATCCCACTTATATGTGTAATCTAAGTAAGTTGAACTCATAGAAGTAGAGAGAAAAAGGGTGGTTGCCGGGGGCTGGGGAGAGGGGAAAATGGAGAGATGTTGGTCAAAGGGTACAAAGTTTTGGTTATGTGGGATGGATAAATGCTGGAGATCATGGTGACTATAGTTACTAATAATTACAGTTACAGTTAATAATATTGTACTGTTTACTTGAAATTTGCCGAGAATAGATCCTAAGTGTGCTTACCATATGCACACACGAATCATAACTGTGTGAAGTGTTGGATGTGTTAATTAGCCTGATTGTGGTAATCATCTCACGATGCATATGTATATAAAATATTACATTGTATACCTTAAGTACATACAATTTTTATTTGTCAAGTATACCTCAGTAATGTTGGGGAAAAAAAGAAAAGGGAACTAAATGATAAAAAGAAATCAAAGTCACTAAGTCTCTACTACATGAATGGCATCATGCTACATGCTTTCGCATGCTGTCTCATTAAATTACCCCAACAACTCTGTGATGTGGGTGTCAGTTTCCTCATTTTATAAATGAGGACATTGACATTCAGAGTGGTTAAGGAATGGTCAGTTACTCAGTTAGGTAGAATGCCATGAAAAATTCTGACTCTGATGGATGGAAGAGGCTGGCTTCTCAAATGCTATCAAATGATCTAATGAAGATTTGAAAACCCTTCTTCATAAGGGCATTATTATTTCCAGTGAAGAATGCTTTCCTAGCCTTATAGGTGATGAAACTAGTGGTTATTCCCCAAAAGCCATGGAAGAGAAAAAAATCATAAACATTCTTTATAGCAATAATACACTTGCAAGACAAAATGCTAGCTATTAAAATATTCCATGAACAGGAGGCAGCTGGACCCAGTATTTCCCATAAGCATTTACAGTAAAATGGGCATCTGGTATTTGCATGCCTTCAAAGTTTCCTTCAGTTTGTCACTGGGACTCTGCAAATAACCCAGTTCCACTGAATTATTGATTAAATCCAGGTCATTTGCAAACTCCAGCTGAGGCTCAAATGCTCAGGGGCTGCAGGAAAACCACAGTGAAAGATAAGGGGACAGAGAGAGAGAGAAAGAGAGATGGAGGAGAGCACCATAATTGTCCCAGGCATTCCCCATTTGGAATTTACATGATGAGTTTGTTTTCATTACCCGTTTCCTGGTCTTATCTTTAAGGAATGGCTTGATAAGCGTGTACAGGGCATGAATGTACCAGGGCTGGTTGACAAAGTGGACTCCTCCAAAGCGAGCAGGAAAGCTGTCCTGGGGTGGAAAGAGAGAAATGCATAGCAATTAGTAAGCACTGCAGATTAGGCTGGACCAGCAGGAGCAAAACCTCAAAGAACAACTTGTTTCTTCTGGCTGGTGGAAACTCTAGCTTCACGGTGGGGAAAGGAAAAAAACCTACCTCCAAGCTGTTAAGGTTTCGGTATTTCCTTTGCCTCCCTTTGACGCCACAGCTTAAAAATTGTGCACAGGTGCCAGGTCTGTCTTTTCCAAGTCACAACTGTGTGACTTCCTACATGGCACAGAAGCGTGTGTAGCAGGACAGTGGGGGGGTCTGAATTCTTCCTTGCATTGGGTAACCAAGGCTGCACTCCCACAGGCCCTGAGCACAAGATCTCTCTCTACCCGCATTTTCACTCTCCCCCTTCCACCCTCTCCACCAGCATTACCATGATAACAGTGGAACTTTCTGGGTGAGTGAGCTAGCTGTGTAGGAAGTGGTTGCAAAAGGATTTCAAAGGATCTTAGGAGATGGGGCTCTGTGGAATCAACCAAGGTCTAATAATGTTTGTCTACAACTTTTTCACAGACAGACTGTATTAGTACTAGCTCCCATTTCACTGGGGGCACACAGTAGATCCCAGGGAAAAAATACTTGTCGATCGATGGGCTAGTCGATCCCCTTAATTGAGGGAACATGAACTTCCTTTGGTGCAGATCAATACATTTTGTAAATATCGGGAAGTAAGAGCATCTTAAAAAAATGGTTCCAATTTTAGAATCCAGATCAGGGCATTAGAATCCATATCAGCTTAATTTTTAGATGCTGGGAAGCTATCTCGGTGCTAATTAGACCTAAGGAACAAGGGACCTTGGCCAGAACGTCTGAGCTAGTCCTGCAAAAACAGGCCCTAGATCTCCTGATGAATGGCTTCAGCAGATTGGGTTCATCATTGTTAACAGAATTAAAAGAGAAGGGGCATCCAAAGGCTGTTTGAATTGCCAAGTTCACTGTCAATCAATTTCACTGTGACAAACATCTTTGTGAAATGTTAGCAGGATCAGATGAAAGTGGAGGGAGTCTGGAAGTCTGAGCCAGCAGTTCAGGCAGCTAGCTGCTACCTGCGGGTGTATGAAATGCCTTGCCTGGGTCTTTTTTAGTAACAAGGAAAGAGGGTTATTAACTTTTTTCAGAAGCCTTTGAGTCTATAGGGTCCCTAGGCATCTTTCACACTGAGACCTAGTTTCCAACGTAAGTACATGGAACTGTGCTTAAGGGTTGACATTAGAAAAAGTTAAAATAATTTTTCCTCTATGTAGACATTTTACAGAATAGAAAGGAATTAAATATTTTGAAGACTAAATGGGACAATTTATTTTTTTGTTGTGTTTTTTTATTTTTAAAAACTTAATGGAACCACTAAGTACAGGGGTAGATAAATTATTTATACTAATTTGTACATTTGTCATAATCTCTCACTATTCTAAATCTAATTTTAGGAGTGTGAAAGCTCTTAATAAGGTTATCTTTTTCTTTTAAGTATAGTTCAACGTCTAAAAGTTCTTTGGTTCCTTAAAAAAAAAAAAAGAAAAGAGATCATTCCCCAAAGTTTTTTCTTTGTAGTAAGTGCTATGCACTAGCCTCACTCTTTTTTGGGCCCTTTTAAAATCTTATTCAGAAGTATAATTCATTATCTGAAACACCAAATGTGGGCTCTGAGGGGCTGTAGGAAAAGAACAAGAGTAGAGCCTTTATTTATAAAACCAGGGCTTCACTATCGTTTTAGTAGAACCAATAAGAGGCTCCTAATTATTTCTATAGATGTCTATCACATTATACATTTCTAGGTTCATAGAGTAGAATAAAACTCTAAACAACACTTGAGAGATAGTAGACAGAAACCATAAAATATTAACCTTTTAAAAATATCTAGAGACTCTTAGTTTTTGTTTATGAAACTGCAATCATCAAAGACAACAAAAATTGTCTTCTGATTGTGTCAGGGGAGGTTGAAAGAAGGAATTAGAGAGCTGAGACCCTGTCCTTCCTTCCTAGGCTGGCCCTCGCTGATGAGTCTGCCAGGTTGAAGGTGTGGACTTTTCTTGCTCTCGTTCAAGTCAGCAGGGGAATATATGCAGATAAAGACGTGTAAACCCTGTGCCATGGAGTTCCGGGCTTGCACCAGAGTAGAAACAGAATCACTTTTCTTCATGTCCCTTCTATAAAATTCAAACGAAAGGCCCTCCTGTCTAATACAGGCAACGTGCAAATGTTCTGATTATTCCCGAATGGGTCTGGCCATGTCATTTAATAATGGCGTGTGTCTCTGTGTGTGTGTCTCTGTGTGTGTGTGTGTGTGTGTGTGTGTGTGTGTGTGTGTTGTGCAGAGGGGAAAAACTAGCAAGCACAACCCTCTTATGGTCAACACATTATTACTGTTTGTCTTTGCCTGATCACATTAGCTAACTGCTAACTGCAGACAAGGGGAAGCTGTCAGTCACACAGAAGTCTCCCAGGACCCTAAGGGCATCCGCTACCCTCTTAGAGGTGCATTTTTAGGGGGCTGGAACAGGCCGATCTCAAGAAGATAGGCCTTGACTCCATGACAGTGGAATACCTTGTCTTTCAGAGTTCTTGGAGACTAAAGAGTATGTTTCAAGACATCCTAAGTTCAAGAAAATAGTATTAATTCTGTACATTTCACATATTTATCAATAAAAATATAACATCGCTTCAAATTTTAAACATTTAAATCATAAAATGTGTCTGCTCCCCCAGTTTATTTTAAAAATAATTGTTTCTTTATTATAAAAATAATAGAAAAGTCAAAAATAGATAAAAACATTATTTTAAAAATTAGAAAATACAAGAAGATTTTTTTTTTTTTTTGAGACAGAGTCTCGCTTTGTTGGCCAGGCTAGCGTGAGTGCCGTGGCATCAGCCTAGCTCACAGCAACCTCAGACCCCTGGGCTCAGCTCAAGCAATCCTCATGCCTCAGCCTCCCGAATAGCTGGGACTACAGGCATGCACCACCATGCCTGGCTAATTTTTTCTCTATATATTAGTTGGCCAATTAATTTCTTTCTATTTATAGTAGAGATGGGGTCTCACTCAGGCTGGTTTCGAACTCCTGACCTCAAGAAATCCGCCGGCCTCTGCCTCCCAGAGAGCTAGGATTACAGGTGTGAGCCACTGCGCCCAGCCGAGAAGATTTTTAAAAAAAGAAATATTACCTATAATCCCACTGCTAAAGATACACTCTTACTATTTCCTATCATTCAGGATGGGTTATGTAATGTTATAATGAACAGCCCCTGCTATTTTATCATTTAAAATGATAAAAATTGATTCTTGGCACATACTAAATGTCTTGTTTGATTTTCGTCCTTCCTGATTGATTTCTTGCTCACACTAATGTCCTGCTCACACTAATGTTCGTGCTCACACTAATGTCCTGTTCACTCTAATGTTCTGGCTCTCAGCCAGGAGTGCAGCCTCCCCCACCTGGAACAATGCCACTTGCCACAACCCAGGGAAACCACGTGGAAAAATCGTACCTTAGGTCTTAATGTTGATCCCCAAAGTGATATGCCTTGTCTATCACATTTTATAGGTCAAACACATACCTGATTAGTAGGGCCTCAGGAAGTAAAATTCTACCATGTGCCCAGGAAAAGGACCAAAGGTATTAGTGAATAGCACTAAGGATTACCCAACTCTGCTAACCTATCATTTCTCTTCCTTTCTATCCTTTCTAAATGGGACCATTTTTAAAAACGTAGACTTAATAACTGTTAGACTTAGACTTAACTATCAGACACAGACTTAATAACTATTCATTGGTATGAGTCAATATGTCTGATTTAATGTATTGAATTACACAAATATAGAGTTTACAAAATAGTGTGGAAAACCAAAACCAACAGTTATTTAATGATATGTTTAGTGTCTTTAACTCTTCCCTAAACGATTAGTTCATGCCTTGAACCTCTTCAATTCAGACATGTTTATGAGTGTCCACTATATGACAAACTCTGTATTTGCCAAAAACTGCCACAGTCCAGGGTGCTCTGTGATTTTGATCCTTCTCCTGCATTCTCTAACCTGAGCTTTCACCAAGCCCGATGTGGCTGAGGTCAGCAGCTTTTATTTTGTGATAATCTCAATGTAAAGTTGTGACCTCTCAAAGAATAAAGACCTTAAACTTAGATAAAGCAGACTTTTTTCATTTTCAATAACTTACTAGTTCATTCATACTGCCATTTAATTCACAGTTTCAAATTCCACAGTACAGAAAGTGTTATGGGAAGCTAACTCTCAGTTGTATGAGATAAAGTGAAGTTGGGTGTTGCCCAACTGTACTCAATTTTTAGACTTCTTGTTTAAGGTTGTTTCATTCTTGTCTTCTGATTTTGTGTATTTAAATTCAAAGCACATAACTCTCTCCATAGTGCCTATGAGATTAGAGCAGGAGACCACGGTTCAGCAATAAGGTGTCACCTTGAGGGGCCTCACAGACACTCTTTTACGCTAATGATGGAGCTCTGCATGTACAGTGGCAACTGAAGTTCCCTGTAATGTATTTCAAGATCTTATAATAAAATATTATTAAATTCCTGTCTCCACAAAGATGGAGTAGACACACCTCTCCCTATTTTTTGGCTATGTACAACCAAGCCTTGAATATTGTATATAAACATAAGAAGACTTTGAAGGTGGAGAGAAGGCAGAAAAACCAGGGACTTTGGGACCCAAGGAGGACATGATAGAGATTTCCCCGGGTTTCCTTTTATTGGTCCATATATACCAGACTTGGGGCAGAGGAAGGCAGCACCCTGGAAACAACAACAGGTATAGAAAAAAAATTTTTTTAAAAACCTGCAAAAACGACTACCCTTTAATCAAATGACCTGTTAAGGGCCAACCTAGTAAGAAATATTTAAGACAATTATATTGTAAATTGGAGTGGGTGGAAGGTATGCAAAGCGAGGTAAGTTTTCTATACTTCACTTGAACTGGTGAAATGTCAACATG